TTGTTGAGCTCCCGACGGCGGCAGCTCCTCCCCTCGAAGCCCTATAATCATATTTTTCAGAGTTTCCCAAGCTTTTTGAATTGTTTTCCCCAGAAGATTTTCATCCATGAAATCCTTCCCAATCTCTTTTTAAGTTAGCTGAAATCAGCTCTTTTAAAGCCTAAGATGCTGGTTTGATTTTGTTCTATTGCTTGTGTCTGCGTTATATTGTATTCCAATAAGACATGGTAACTCTCCCTTAAAGTTCCTGCAACTTCAACCCCCTGTATCATTTCTTGTCTGCTAGTAAGAATTAAGTCTAGTATAGCTGATACTCTAGTTCCTTCTTCTTCCTTTTGGATTACAAAATTATGAGCTAGGTTTGTCAGGACCCAGTTCGATCTCCCATTGATACAGAATCTCAAATAATTTAATGCAAAATATTTTAAAGTGATACACAATTTTACGGCTAATAATATCATAAAACACTATATTTAGAATAGAATAAAATAGAATGGAATAAAAAAATTGTATAGAATAAAAATCTAAGATAATTTATTATTTTTACAAATAGCTCAAGGCGACAAACATATCCAATATATCTTCTCCCTCCTATTTTCCTTATAACAACAACCCAGTGAGGTAGGTTGGACTGAAAGAAAGTGACTGGCTCAAAATCACCCAATTGCTTTCAAGGCTAAGTCCGTTTCAAGCATTAAATAAACATTAAATAAGCATATAAAAAAGAAATATGGTTTTCTAATGCAAAAGGAATTTGAAATAACAAACCAACATACTAGGAAAATATGCCAAATAAGTTATCTTTTATCAATCAGCAAAATTAATAAAATTATTTTGTCCAAAACAGAAACTTCAGCTCAACTCTAGATACACAAACAACAATATTCCAGTGTTGTTAGAAAACCATAGATGAGAGGAGTTGACCAAAATTAAATTAGGTTACCTTTTCCCTTCAACCCAATTGTACTTCATCCCACAAAAAATGAGGCTGTATTAGACAAGTACAAGTATCCTTTTTCATTACATCCCTACATTGGCCTCTTTTAAAGATGAAATTATTTAGTTATGTAATATACTATATTAACTTTGTGAAATTTACTAAAATGTTTTATACATATTAAATTAAGTGGTGGAACGCTGACTTCTGACTTCATTTCTGTGAGGAATTTTAAAGGAGTGCAAAAAAACATGTTGTCGGTGAACATGTAAAAGCAAATCAAATATCAAGAATCGTCATTTTCAGAAACCAAAAAGTAACTTCTCAAATTATCATAGAGATTGTGACCTGGACTTTTTGGGAAATGAAGATGATAGGGGAGTAATAGCAGTATTTCTATGGTGGTTGCCACAGGACAATGAGGGCGAATTCTTTTGGGCTCTGCATGTCAACACTTCAGAAAATGCCTAACTTGGCTCTGCTGGT